CGCCGAGTGGGCCAGGCCGCCGCAGGCCGAGGGGTGGAAGCCGGCGTGGTGGCCGCCGTAGATCTCGCTCACCAGCCGCTTCATCTCCTCCAGCGAGTTGGTGAGCATGAGGATGTAGTTGCGCGCCAGCAGCAGCGTGGCGATCTTGGAGAGCTTGCGCACCGACGGCCCGTGCGCGTACGGCATGACCTCGCGCAGCCCGTCCATGGCGATGTTGAGGTCGTGCATGCGCTTGCGCTCGCGGCTGTTGATCTTCAGCCGCAGCTGCTGCAGCTCGGGCTCCGTCATCTGCTTCTTGTCCTTCTTGGTGGACGAGGCGGCCGCCGCCGATGTGGACGACGACGTGCTGGACGACGAGGACGACTTGAAGCCGCCGCCGCCGCCGCTGCCGCCTTTGCTCCGGGCAGGCAGGAAAAGGTCATCCGGTTCTGGTGAGGATGGGCGACTGGACACCAGGCTGGCGTCCGAGTCCATGGCACCGGGGGACAGTCACCGCGTCCTCGGGAATCGTCCTCTCGGTCTTCCAGGATCCCGGGGACGGAGAAGAGGGAGACGAGAGGGGGACAGAGACATAGAGTGAGAAAGACAGAGACACGAGAGAACGAGAGAGGGGGGGAGAGGGAGGGAGGGACGGAGGCAGATAGAGACACAGAAAGAGACACGAGAGAAAGACAGGACAGAGAGAGATGGAGACCGAAACACAGAAAGAGACAGGACAGAGAGAGAAAAAAGAGGGAGACAGAGACACAGAGAAATATGGAGAGGAACAGAGAGACGGAGAGGACAGAGACAGAAAAACAGACCCACGGAGAGAAAGACAGACACGCAGGGAAAGAAAAACAGCAAAACAGAGAGACAGAGACACACAGAAAGAGAGAGGAGACGAAACAGACACGGAAAGAGACAGCAAGAGACACAGAGAGGGGAGGAGACAGAGACGGGGGAGAGTTGCAATAGTAAATAAAACAGAAAAGCTGGCCCGCTTTCCCGCAGCACCCGCGGCGGGTCACCCGTGGCGGGTGTCCGTCCGTCCTTCCGTCCCCCCCACGCCCGTCCTCGGCCTTCCCTTCAGCCGCAGTGTCCCTCACGCGGCGCGCGCGTCTCTCCCGTCCCGTCCACAGGTCGCTCCACCGGCCGGACGCCCAGCGAAGGGCTTCCTGGGGGGGGGGTCTTATTCGTTCGGGACGGGGAAGCCCTAGCCCCCCGAGTTGGATTAAACGCGGGGGGGAACAGGTGAAGCCTTTTCTCTGGGGAGCGAGAAGCGCTAAATAACAAATGCGGTGTATTCGGTTCTCCCAGCGCACCCTCTCCGCCTCCGCCGACCCCGCCGAGCGCACGCGCGCCACGCACGCACCCAGCACCGGCTCCGGGCCCGCGGACCCCACGCGCGGCGGCTCGCGGCCGCAAGGGCAGCTCGGTCGCGGCAGAACGGATTTGTTTTCCCGGGAGTTGGGGCTTTGGAGGCGAAGGGGGTGGGGAGATGCGGCGATGAACGTGGGCCGCCGCCGGGCATCTCCGGGACCCGGGGGGGCGGGATCCCATCCCTCCCCCCCACCTAACGGAGTTGGGGGTCGTCAGCCTTTGGACCCTCGGCTGGGGGGGGGAGGGGCTGCTGGGGACACTTACTGTGAATTCGATTCAAGGAGCCCGCTCCGAGGAGCCGCCGGGAAAACCTGGCTGCGGGCGACGGCGTCGCGCGGGCCTAGGACGCGCATCCAAGCGTCCGCACCTTTGGGTGGGGGGTGGTGGCGGGCCCGGGCTGGTTTTTATAGCCGGGTGGCGGCCGCGGAGCCCGCGGTGGCGGTGGCCGGAGCGGGGGGGGGGCGGGGGGGCGGGGAACAATGTGCTGGTGCTGGAGGTGCGGCCTCTCCAATGAGCGGGGCCCGCCCCGGGGGCTGGGGAGCTGATGTCATCCGGGCTAATTCCGCTCAATGAAACCCGCCCGGCCCCGCGCACGCCTCCGCTCCCCGCACAGCCAATGAGCGGCGGCGGCGCAGAGATTCGGGAGGGCGAGACTGCCGGAGCGACTCGGGAGGGGAGGGGAGGGGAGGGGGGGAGGCTGGGACCGAGGGAGAGGCAACTACATTTCTACATCCCCCCCCCCCCCCCGCCACACACACCCCGCGCAGCCGTCCGCGTGGGAGCCGGGCAGCCGCGGGCCTGGGAAGTTCGCAGACACACTACCCTGCGGCGGGCAGGGAGCCCTCAGGGCGCGCTTGGGGAGGGGAGTTCAGCCTGGAGTCCGCGCTCCAGCGTTCCCTGGCTCGCTGGTTTCTGCGTCTCAGCGTTTGCAGGAAGCGGGAGCCCTCGGGCCCCCAGATGTGAAGAAGCCGAGCGCGCACAAAGCCCCCGCCCCCATCTCCCCAACTTTCTTCCCGCCGCGGAGGCAGCCCTGCCGACGGGCGGTGGCGCCCCCACGCGGGCCGGGCCGGCCGGGCGGAGCGCGGGGAAGGACGCTGGGGTTTGTGGTTGTTTTTCAAAGAAATCACAACTGCTCCGAAAGTTGGAGACGGTGCCGCCCCGGGCCAGTGAGTCACGTGCGCGGCACCGGCACCGAGACGTCCCGAGCCAGCCATAACCTCCCTCCGAAGGTCCGCGGACGAAGCGCCGGGTTTTCAGCAGCGTCCGTACCGTTGCGTCCGTGCCCCAGAGTAGCGACACCCCGAGGTTTGCAAAGGGGCGTCTCAGGCCTGGCTTAGGCCAAGCACACCTTTCCTCCACCAAAGCCCGGCTCTCCGATCATGAAACTCTTGACCAGCAAGTATGAAACGCGGTGTGGACAGGCGCCTGAATTGGCCCTCAGATGCCAACGTATTCACCACGTTACAGAAAAGCCCAGAAACGGCCTCTGCACCAGGCCTGCAGAAATCGTGCTAAGCCTTTGGAGCTTAACCCTGCAGTACCCACGCAGAAAGGAGTTGGCGGTCCCTTAAGGTACACACACACACCACACACTACATACCCACACACACACACCATACATGCATGCAACATACACACACCACAGATACCACACACATACACATACACACCACACTCTACACCTACACACCACACATACATTCAACACACCACACACAAGACACCGCACACACACCACACACATACAGCACACCACACACATACACATGCACCACACACACTACATACACCACACATATACATACACAGCACACCACGCACCCATACACTACACACACATACCACCACCACACACACCTCATCCTGGTAGGAAGTATTGAGTCCTTTGCTAATCTTCGTTGTTTGGGGGCTTTTTACTGCACAGATGATTTTTTTTGTTTTATTTTTCAATGCGAGTGATCGAACCTAGGGACTCACCAATGCTAGACAAGCAATCTACTACTGGCTGCAGATGATTTTTTTTTTAAAGCAAGTAAGCAAGCAAAAACACAGTGATTGGTCTCCGAGTAGCAGTTACAAAGCAAATAGGAAAACGGAGCCCAGTGCCCCGGTTTCCGGGCTAAGGCTCCCTCGGGGTGTGGGAAGCCCCCACGGGCTCTCGCCTTTGCCCTGGTCTCGTGCCTTCTGGAGCATTATTTTTCAACCCGCGTGTTTCCCAGCTGGCTTTGCAGCCATCCGTTAAATATGTATTTAAAACATGAAGAACTGAAGCGTGGTGTTATGTCGTCCAACGGCTGCAGGGATGACCCATAACCGTTCCATTAGCAGAGTCTGTCACACACAGACGCCGATCGCTGGGGGGAGGAGTTAGGGGGAGTTTAGGAACTGTGCGGGCATTTGAGGCTCTCTCCTGGGGGCCTCTCGTGCCAACTTTAGTGAGGGCGCGTGCGGGGGAGCGCGTGTGGGGACCACCCGCGGGGGGCGTGGAGCGGTGCGCCCGCCGGGGTAGCTGGCGAAGGGTAGCTGGCGAACACTGCGGGCACAATGTGACAGGCGGGCAGCCCGCACGCGTCCCGCATCCTTCATCCGTTGGAGCCCACTGGTGAATTGGTGCGCGCCGGCCTTGCATTCGTTACGCATTTGGTCCCGTGGCTAGCACTGAAAGTGGACCGGGCCCGCCGAATCGGGGGTCGATCTGCACCGTAGTGCCCCAAGGTGGGAAGGCGTCCTTGCTCCCCGCCCCCTCTCTCTCTTCCTGGACCCCATTGAGGCCCACCGGGGACCCTGCCCAGTGCAGATCGGATGCCAGACAACCTTTCGTCGTGTTTCCCTCCCATCGACATCCAGCCCGGACAATCAGGAACTGGACAGAGCCTTGGCCCCGTGGGTTCTGGAGGGCCAAGCCTGCACTTGGGGTCCGGCACCCCGGCGAGCCCCGGACCCTGCGGTTCCCACCAGCGCGCAGCTGTTCTTATCGGAGAACAAGCGCTCACTCGCCCAGGCCGATCGGGCCCTCGCCCCGGGAGTCCCTGGCTGGCTCTGGAGCGGTTGGCCTCCTCCGTCCAAACGGAAGACGTGTATTTCCCTCTTCTTTGTGTTGCCCTTGCACAAAAAGCTGGGTGCGTGTCAGGACCGGCCTTTGCCCGGCTGCCCGGCGGCGCAGGGGGAGCCGGTGCCAGGGCGGCCGGGGGCAGGCTCCCCGGGCTCCGGGACACAGACCTCCCACCGTGTCCCGGGGCCCGCCAGGGCTTTTCGTGCAGTTCCCCGGCTCCGGCTTGCATTCAGGCGGCCGCTCTGCCTGGCTGCCAAGAAAGAAGCCGATCCGGGCGCAGATTCCCCGAGGTTGGCGGCGGGAGGAGAACCGCGTCGGCCACCGCTCCCTGCCCGGAAATCAGAAAGGACGCGGGGCGGCCTCTCGGTGTGCAGCCTCGACTCTAAATGAGTGGCGTTTAATTTCGGCTCCTGCAAGCCATCTAGGTCATGTCTCAGACCCTAGTGCCAGAACAGGTTCTGGCGCTTGGCAGGTGTCTAGGAAATATTTTTGAATGTACTGTTGACTGGGTGTGAAACGTGTAAAATACGTAGCAATATAAAGAGCAGTAGTGTAATTATAGGTGTGCAAATCAATCCTGAGGTGTGCAATCTGGATGGAGTGGGGGCTGGAACCCAGTGACAAAGCAGCACCAGGTGTGTGTGTGTGTGTGTGTGTGTGTGTGTGTGTGTGTGTGTGCACAAGCACATATGCTGCTACGAGGTCTTGAACTCAGGGACAGGGAGCTGTGTTTCATTTAAGGCTAGCATTCTACCACTTGAGTGACAGCTCTACTTCCAGCTTTCTGCTGCTCAATTGGAGATGAGTGTCAAGGACTTTCTTCTGGGGCTGCTTTGATCCTCTCATCTCAGTCTCCGGAGTGGCCGAGATTCCAGGCATAAGCTACCAATGCTGCGCAGTGAGTCTTGATAGACTCCTATTTCACAGACAAGGAAGCAGCTCAGAGAGACTTAACTGTTTCCTCCAGTTCAAGAAAGCCTTGGGAGGGCTAGGAAGGTGGCTCAGTGGTAGAGTGCTTGCCTTGCCTGCATGAGGCCCTGGGTTCGATTCCTCAGCACCC